ATTTTCCTGTCCATTCACGATAACATTGACAAAAACTATTATCATTTGAATATCTAATACATTGACCATGTATACATAATTGATCTAAACAGTTTTCTTTTTTATCATTTGCACGTGGAATATCAAGTTGAATAGCAATACGATGTACAGGTAAAAATGAATATTTAAGTGGAATTAAAAAACTTCTTTGATATGTAAATGAAATTTTTTCATAAATATCAATATGAATGAAATAATTTTTTGTTTGATTTTTTGGTCTAGTTGAATAAAGTAAATAAATATTAAATTTAGTTTGACAATCTCGAATATAAAGATAAGTAAGTTGTTGATAGGAATGAATAATTCTTTCATTACTATCATCAATAAGTAAAATAATTAATGCAAATAGTGTTCGTCGAGAATCCGAAAATGTTTGAAATCGTAATGTGAGACTAACACGTTGATTTTGATATTGACACATATTACCATAGAAACTAGGTGGACAAAGACATGCGATAGTAGTCAAGTTTTTATCAATATTTAACCGAATTCGTAATGGAAGACCACGATGACAACGTTGCTCATACTGATGGATAATTATTTGTCTGGTGGATGATTGTAAGATCATTTCATTTGTATGTTGTTGAATCATTTGATTAGCTGAGTTCGTCAATTTACCAAGTGAAAAATATACTAATTGCGGTTTATTAGTATCGAGTTGGCGTGCACAAAAGAAGTTTTCAACTTTAGAACGAATATTTTCATACCGTTTATTACAAATAGTAGAGTGTATGGGGATATCTCGAGTGTAATTACAAAATTGTATATCAGTTCTGTCTTGGCAATGACTTTTATAACATAAATGTAGGGATTCAATACAAAGTTCGCCTGTGTGATTGATGCACTGAAAATTTTTGTCGCTAGGTTGATAATCATTTGATCGACATAATTTAGGTTCATCAGTACCACCAAGACAATCAATATTACCATCATTTGCTTTTTCAAGAGGTAAACACATAAATTGATTTGTATGAGGTGAAACACAAATATGATGATGTTGATATGGACAATTAAATGATAATGATGATGAATAACAATCAACTTCATCAGCTCCATTAAAACAATTCCAAAAACCATCACATCGTGTATAAGTATTATTACATATCCAATATTCACATTCTGTTTCATCTGTTTCATTTCGTCCGTTTATGGTAACAGGTATTAATTCTGTAAAACTATCACAAATAGTCGTAAATGATATATGTGTTCTAATATAATGAATGTTTAGATCTTCATCTTCACAAGCATTATATTGAACAAATCCACAATGGCACCAACTATCTCCGACCAATGCTGAAGAAATACAGATATTTTTTATTGTACATTTGAAAAGATCATCTAATCCGTATAATAAACAAGAGCCATTGATTGGAGCGCACTCTTCATCGTCTTTGTAATTGCAGTCTATGATTTGATCACAGAGTCGATGTTTTGAGATACACTTTGATGAATTAATACATTTATACATAGTTAAATTGTTACAACTTGCAGATTCATTATAGTAAATTTTGTTGCATCGAGAAAGCTGTTGATATAGTGGTATGACATAAGTATAGAACCAATTACTTGTACTGTGCCCTAGCGAGTTAGGCTTTAATGGAAAATCTGCAGGACGACGACATGTGGCATTATTAAATGAAATTAATGGTTTGTTTGAATGGAATCCATCACAAAGTTGATCATTGTAGCATACATAACTGGGTGGTATTGACCGAGCAGGAGAATTAATCATATCTTCTTTAGTATAGATAAAGAATATATGACCAAAGGCAATTGCGCCTGCTGGCACCCGTAGCATATCTGGACAACTTTGATTAATCATTTCTGTACATCTTCTTTTGGAACAATGAATAAGACATCTTGGATCGGATCGATCCAGAATACGCAACTGGCATTTAGCTGTCATCCAGCAATCATCAGATACTCTATTTGGTGTATCATTGAACAATAACTTCTCGAGTATTTTATTGCGTTCGAAGAGACATGAACTCGTCCATTTCACATTGTCTACGATATAGCGCTTTGGGCATGTGATATCTTCACTGGCAAATGTTGGTTCATTGCGAAACGTGAAAGCTAAAGGATTCTTCCGCGCCATATCCTTCCAAATTTCATCTGTTCGATCAAGACATTCAAAAGTATTACCACCGTCATGCAAAAATATTTTGGATATACATTGTCCATTAGTACATTGAAATTCATTTGCTTCACACTCGTTAAATTGAAGTTGCCAACAAAATTCTTCATCAGTTCCATCTTGACAATCAATGATTCCATCACAAATTTCAGTCCAATCAAGACATATCGATGAAGAACCTCGATTGCATTTTAAATGCGTATAACATGTCAAATTTATGGGATTATATTCATGTTGATAAAAATCATAAATAATTTCATATAATGTTGAATAATGAGATATGTAATTATCCAATGAATATTGACATAATGTACCAAATCTTGGTAATGTACAATTGTAGAACCATTGTGTTGTCATGA